TCGATTGTATATGTTATTCACGTCACATTTGAGTTTTTATATTCTAAGATACCATATCTAATGTATATGTCAATTTTAGATATTAAAAATATCACATTGCTAGCCTACCTACTTATGCGTTTTTTTATGTGAAAAGTTGCCAAGCGAGCACCTGCTCGCTAAGCAACTTTTGCTGGTTCACCTGATGTTAAGTGAATACCACCGCCTATGAACATCTGCTACACCCAAGGGTTTGCAAATGCATTAACAACCTTTTGAAAAATGGGCTCCGACTACCTCACTAACCAGACGAAAGTATTATACTTCCACTTTACGCCAGTCTTCTGTGAGGTCGTGGTACTTACCTGTACGAGCCTGCCCATTCGTGCAACAGCCGAGGCTGCTGCGTGGCCCTACCAACGCTATGCGTAGAGTACGGTGAGTGTCTGTTGCGTGTAACACATACATGCTCGTCCGGAGAAGACCCAAGATCTTACAGAATACCAGTGGCCTTACATGAGACTTTGAGTTTTACTTTTGACGTTACAGTTTGTACTTCATTTTTTTTGGGATCGGGAGTGATCAAATCTTCAAAAGATGTCAGGGATATATTTTATGATTGGACTTACAGCAAGATTCAACAATGAACATTCATAGATTTCGAAGCTTTTATTTTTGTCCGATTTAAAACCGATTTAGAATCAGACTAGAAAACCATTGGACTCCTTTGTGCTAAAATAGCAATATTAGAATTTTAAAAAGCATGAATCCGTGGATATCACTCAAACTATGAAGCCAAAGAGTATATATACACTAAGGAAATTACAAATTAATTAAATTTGCAAATTAATATTATTAAGTAAACAAATGCGATTCTTTTGGATTATATCCCTTTTTAACTCTTTAAAGCGTTCGTCGTCCAGGGACAGCCTGTCAAGACAAGCGAACATTGTGTCATTGGCGAAAATTTTGCTTGAGAAGTATATGTAATAAGAATCGTAATCATGCGTATTATTAAACCAAACATAATACTTGCTAGAATAGAAATCATTGTAGTTCCTTATAATATCAACAAACGATTTGAGGCGAAATGCGTAACGCTAAATTATCGTATCCACAAGTTATTGTACGTAACTAAAATAACAATGTAAACATTTCAATATTGTAGAATTTGTGTTCTGTTTAAATAAAACCATTGTTTAATTAAAATACCATTAATGTTACGTACAGTAAATTAAATATGATCGTCTCCCACCTAATGGCGCACCTCCCACGCGGCCAGTCTCGTCTTACTGCTTACTGCATAAAAGCGACGGACGTGTTAACTCTGTGATATTATGATACCCTGGTACTCAAGTTTTTCTATAGAGTTGATTGATATTAAATTTCTCCGTGCCCACACTTTGTTTCGCAAAATTTGTGGACTCAAAAGGAAAATTAATGGAAGGTTAAATAGTTTTTAACTACTGGTAAAAATAATTATTGTTTACTAATTATGTAGATGCTCGGGCACCGTGGTGGACTTTGCCCTAATACCGTCTGTACATAGGAGGCCCTTGTGCCCAGCTGTGGAACTTATACAGGCTGGTATTTAGATTTTTTTTTTTGGGCACCGTCATGGCGATTAGGTATTTTCATCGTATTTAATTATGTGCCTCAAAAAGAGAAGATAAAAATATGTTTACTACCCAGACAAGAAATACAACAAAAAACGGGCGAATTTTTTTTGTTTCAATTCAATAATGTAAGAAGTTATACTTCTTTAAAGTAACAAAAGAAAAATAATTAAAAAATTATCCCGTGTGCATTTAGGCGTCGTGCAAATTAACTTTTTTTTTTTTAAAGTGTCCAGCACTTGACTGCCATCCCACCTGATGTTAAATGGTGATGCAGCCGTTGATGGTATGCGGTACTCATCACTCTTATCATTTTCCCAAACGCGCCAAAAGAAGTATAACTTCAAAAAGAAATAGTCGGCTTAATATTTCCGAACGTGTTATAATCAATTTTAATACTAATGATTTTTCGGCCCGTGCCAAGTATATTTTCTATTAGAAAACTTCCACGACGTAAAGTTAAATTAATATCGCATGTGAAAATGAAACTGTTAAACTGTTTTTATGGTATGTTGCGAACGCTAAACAGCATCCGCAGTCATCACGCGATAAAATCCGTGAAAAAGTTTCATTTTTAACCGCATTCAACATTCGCGTAAATACAAAAGATGGTGACGAAAATTGACATATCCGAAAACGCTTCGTTTAAAATGAATCATGCTTCGAAACAAAGGTTCGACGTTGTCAATGATTTATATTGAAGCGGTCGAGAGTTTGAGGAAATTTCGGAGACAAGCAATTCACCGCGTCTCGGTTATTTCGATTCTAAATGTTTAATTGGTATTCTGTAATTGTCATATTTTGTGACAATTCGGTAAATAATTTATTATCGGACTAGCTGTTAACCGCGGCTTCACACGCGCGGCCGCTGAATTTTTTCCTACTTTTAGTTGACACATCATTACCTATATTTTGGAACAATTCACGCAATATCTTTATAAACTATAGCCTTGTGTTATTCTGATGTATAAATATTTAATGGTAAAGTTCCAATAAAACCTATTGAGTAGTTTTTGCGTGAAAGAGTAACAAATCCATCCATACATTAAAACTTTATAATATTAACACCTTTATAATATTAGTAAGGATTAACGTTGCCTAAAATTCATATCACACCAACAAATAAAATGAAATTTTAAATTTGATAAACCTACCTTCATATTTACCTGTATGGTATCAAGTAAGGATTAGTTCCAACTATTTTAGAATTGTTTTGCTTTGATGGTAGTTGTTCCTCCGATCGTTTACCATCAATGAGTAACCCTTCTCATCCCTTTGTTTTACAGCCCAATAAAATTATCCCTCACCTCAATCATAATCATAATGATTCTATAAATGTTATTTTACAAATTAAAATAAATCTATATCTTCTTCTATATTATAAAGAGGAAAGATTTGATTGTTTGTATGTATTGAATAGGCTCCGAAAGTACTGAACCGATTTGAAAAATTCTTTCATTGTTGGGAAGCTACATTATCCCTGCTTGATATAGGCTTTATTATATTTTTTTTAAAAATAGGGAGCCTTACTAAAACTTCAATAATGTAACCCAAAGTGTACAAAAATTACCAAAAATATTCTTTACATCGCGTGCGCTGCGAAAACTATTGATGATAGAATAAAATAATGTACTACGACTTTGCAGAACACATTGTTATTTACAAAAAGTGTCGCGACAGCATATGTCTAACTATTATGGTTATGCCACAATAAGTGTTCTTTTATTTTAAAATTTTGATTGAAATGCCGCCGCTAGAAAAGGCTCTTTATTTGTATCTTGGTATTAATCCTTATAAAAATAAATTACTTGATATTTAAGACTGTTTCAATATCTTTATATAACTTTTTGAATTATTAAATTCGGACATTCCATTCGAGAGATATCACAAGTTTAAAAATTTTAGTATATTGGAATTTAACTATCCAAACAGCTTAGTGACTGACTTAGTAGTTCTTATAATTTTTCAATCACATTTATACTGGTAATTCCTGTTCGATAGTTAACATATTATTAAATACAAAGGCAGTTTAATTTTTTTTTTATCATTTTAAAGATCTCATCTTTCTAGAAATAGTTTCCAGGCGAGGGCATCAAAAATACGTCGTAATGAGGAATATTTACCGGAAACTGAAAATAGTCTTAAAAGTCGGAGAGAGTCAAGTAGTGTTTGCAGCGGCTTGAAGAGCACATTAATATAAATATACAAATTCACCCTAGGAAGTCGAGTTCTGAGCGTTGCCGGTTTTATAGATAATGTTGACAGCAGTAGTGTTTTTGACAATATGTAAGAGTAATACTTCTATATTGAATAAATATATTAAAACATGATTTTTATGAATGTGATGGAGTGGCAAACGATCTGGCGGTTCACCTGATGTTAAGTAATAACCACCGCCCATGGACATTTGCAACACCTGTAGGGTTGCAAATAAGTTGCCATCTTTAAATAAAGTGGGCCCCGGCAACCTCTCTCACCAGATGAAAAGTAGAAGTATATATAACACTTCTATTTTACCCCGGTCTTCTGTGAGGTCGGTACGGAACCCTTCGTGTGCGAGTCCGACTCGCACTTGGCCGGTTTTAATTCAATACATTGTCGATATGATGGCAAAAAGATATCAGAAAGATTGAATTACATATTATGTCATAATAACCAGAGATTGAGGGCTGGTGAAACATTCATCTTAGAGATGCTTTAAATCAAGACATTGGCCCAATCATCGGTTAACGCGTAATCTGCAACGTCATATTCATTTACAGGTTCTCCGAATTATCTGCATTAAAAAACCAAAGATGCGATGATTTATGTCTGAAGCTATGGAAGACCAGACTTATTTGTCACTTTTACGTGTAACCCCGAATGTCCCGTAATTAAAGCGGAACCATTATCTTCTCAGCGTTCTTTCGATCTTCATAACGTAATTTCAAGGATATTTTATTAAAAGATTAAGAAATTCATAAAATTATTCACCACAAACGAAACATTCGGAAGGTTTTATGTGTGTGTATGATAATTTTTAATTTTTTAATTTTTTGTTAAACTTATTGTTACCCGTGCGAAGCCGGGGCGGGCCGCTAGTTAACTTATAAAATCTAGCCTGTTTCTCTCCGGAATTCGTTCAGGAGTTATAGATACACGTAAAATACCAGCCTACATATATATACACTGGTATATATACATGCTATGATGATATATATAGATGATATACACGGTAGAAACACGTGCTAGTACGGAAGCTATAATATTTTAATTCACGAAAATGCTAGAAAAACGAAGTGAGTTTGCCACTTTAGTGCTTACTAATCTTCTGAGCTATGTCGGTTACCTTATGTTACCATAGGGTAATAAAACACCCCCCGTCGTGCTGCCACCTTGTTGTGCTGGAGGGGCTTGCGTGTCCTAATGACCTCCAAGGCTATGCCGGATAGGGTCTCCCATACCGGACAGGCATGGAGCGAGGGACCAGACGAAGAGCAGCACACGGAGGGGTCCTCCATGTGATTCTCTCATTAGCAGAGAACACATTGGATAGGGCCAAGGTGGACGGGTCGGCGCGCTGACTAATCTCAGTGCGTCTGACACCACCGTCGGAGGAGACTTCGTCAACTCCTCGTTCCGTAACCAGCGACTCACTTCAACGACCCTTCTGGTGGCTCCAGTTGGAGATGTTGTTGTTGGGTATATGTGCGTGCGTATGTGGATGTATTTGTGTGTGTATGTGTGTGCTTCTGTGTCGCTGGTCGGAGGGCTTGCCTTAATTGGCCGGCCCGCGGGAAGGAAAACCCTATAAAACTCGAGAGAACCCTCGTTAAAACCTGTGGATACCTGGGGACCTCCACAGTATGTACCCCACTCCACTTTTTAGTCGACCGGTATGGGCGTAACCCGGGGAGTGCATTATATCGTCCCAACTCGTGGGAATAGAAATGAATACTAAAAATATAATAGAAAATGATGTTTTGAAGGAGTTGGGCGTACAGCTCGAATGCTGTGATGCCCAAAGTAAGGAGGATGGCCCTTTAGCATCAACTGCAATTGGGAGTTTAGAGGAGGTTGGCGGTATATCCGCGTCAGATTCTGGCTCTGAGATGAACCTAGAACTGGATAATAGCGTAGCTAGCAACGCTAGCTGTGATGGGTGCCCAAAGTAAGAAGCGAGGATGATCATCCGGAATCTTCGGCGTTCAAAAGGAAAGGCACCCCTTTAGCATCAGTATTTGGGGCTGCAAGCTCATGGAAGGGAGGGCAGAGATGGAGCTCCAGGCGGAGAAGGAGGTTACAGAGCTGATCCAAAGGGCGGCTCGATAGAGCATTCCGCTGGCTTTGACGATTAGACGACTCTGGCTTTCTTCGACCCTGCTTGAGAGGGTCGATGATGGCATAAAGTCACCAAAGTCGCTACAAAATCAAAGAACCCCGGCTGAGATCTCCAGAGCATATCATCGACTGATGAAACCCCCTATCTCCAGGCCGACAACAAACGGCTGCGGGACGAGGTGGCGACGCTCCAGAAGGAGGTTGCTAGCATGCGTCTCAGCGTAGAGAAGGCGGCTCGCCCAGCCCAGGAACGGACGCCGGCACCAACACTGCAGGCTGAGCATATCGCGCGTGATGTACTATCCCAAATAGGGACGATGATCAGCGCGCGATTCGAGGCTCTCGAGGAGCGTTTGCTCCCGGAGAAGCGCCTAAGGCCGCCCTTGGCTGCGGAGAGACGTGGAGTGCAGTGGTACGGAAGGGAAAGGGGAAGGGAAAGAAAACAGCGCCCGCGCTTGACGTGCAGATGTCGGCGTCCATCGTCGCCAAGCCAAAGAAGTCCGTGGCTAAACCCGTCGCGACGCCTAAGCCACCTGCGGCCGCCGTGAAATCTATTACGGTGCCGCGGCCCCCATTGGTCGCAACGGGATCCTCTGCGTTGCCCAAGTCCGGTACGGCATCAAGACCCACTGTGGCCACCGCGACGCCAGCCGCCGCTAATAAAAAGAAACGGAAGCGTAGAGGCCGCAAACTACGTGCCCCTACGACGGCAGCTGTAGTAATCACACTACAGCACGATGCCGTCGAAAAGGGGGTTACGTATAGTGATGTTCTCACCAAGGCCCGTCAGCGGTTAGATCTGACGGCCTTGAACATACCGGCAGGCCTGAAAATAAGGCAGGCGGCCACGGGAGCTCGAGTTCTCGAGCTTCCAGCACGAGCGAAGCAGCGGACAGTTTTGCCGCGAAGCTCCGTGAGGTCCTCGCCGGAGAGGCACGGATCGCCAGGCCGGTGAAGTGCGCGGATCTGCGTCTTACTGGCCTGGATGATTCCGTCACCAGGGATGAGGTGCGATTTTCGCTGCAGCCGCCTGTCCCCTTGACCACGTCAAGGCGGGCGAAATTCGGGAGGGCCGCCGGGGCACTGGCTGCATCTGGGTGCAATGTCCAGTGGCAGCTGCTAAGGTCTTGGAGTCAGCACGGAGTATTAGGATTGGCTGGAGCTATGTGCATGTCGAGTCCCTGGAGCCGCGCCGTATGAAGTGCTTCCGTTGCCTAGAAATCGGGCACACGCGACTCCAGTGCACCTCGGAGGTGGACCGCAGCGATGCTTGCTATCGCTGCAGTGCTCCTGGGCACAAAGCAGCGACATGCTCAGCCAAACCCCACTGCGCAGTATGCGCAGTAGCAGATAAGCCAGCTGAGCACTCGGTGGGGGGTAAGGGTTGCTCCCCACCGAAAAAAGGGAAAAAGGCCGGCAGGACCCCGGCCTCCCAGCAGGTGGATCGGGATTCGTCCCGACAAGAGGAAATGTGTGTCGACCCTAATAATGGATAGGGATCGACAACATTTCCTTCAGATAAACCTGAACCATGGTTGCCGAGCCTTATTGCATACCCGCCAACTGGGTAGGGGATGCAACGGGCACGGCGGCCATTTATGTTCCAGAAGGCACTACGCTCCTCTCCGTCAAAAAGAGGGGAAATGGTTTTGTGGCAGCCGACTGGGGGAAATACACCATATTCTCGGTGTATTTTTCCCCAAACAAAACCCTCGCGGAACTCGAGACGATCCTTGGCGATATGCAGGCGGCCATCAGACGAGTTGTACCTCGACCGGTGATTGTGGCGGGCGACTTTAATGCCAAAAATATGGCTTGGGGATCGCCCGCCACAGACGCGCGGGGGATTGCGGTTGAGGACTGGGCCACGGAATCTGGGTTGGCACTCCTCAACCGTGGCACAGCACAAACCTGCGTTCGGGTCCAAGGAGGGTCCATTGTGGACCTTTCCTTTGCGAGTCCCGCGGTTGCTGAGGCGGTACGAGATTGGCGAGTTATGGGGGAGGTGGAGACGCTGTCGGATCACTTATATATCCGCTTCAGCGTCTTCTCCTCCAGAGGGATGCAGTCCGACCCCTCCTTCCCTGCAATGGCCTCAGCGTTTCCGCGATGGGCCCTCGCGGGGTTGGACGTTGACCTGCTGCGCTTCCGGCGATGACGGACGAGGAGGCAATGTGTATCCGCAGCGCGATCACCAGGGTCTGCGATGCGTGCATGGTCCGCGTGCGGCAAAGACCTCAAAAGAGGCAGGTGTATTGGTGGTCACCCGACATTGCAGATCTTCGGCGACGCTGTGTCGCTGCCCGCCGGAAGTTTCAACGACAGCGACGGCGGCGGCCCCGGAACGAGGAATTGGATGACCAGCTGCAGAGGGCGTATAACGACGCCAAAAAATCTCTGCAGCTGGCCATCCTGAGGGCCAAGGACACTGCCTGGGCTGAGCTCCTCGTGGGTTTGGACCGCGATCCCTGGGGTCGTCAATACCGGGCAACCAGGGGCAAGCTTGGTCGGGGTCCGCCGCCTGCTGAATCTATTTCACCGGAACGACTGACCACGGTGCTGGAGGCGTTGTTCCCGGCCTCAACTGGCGTTATCCCACCGGTGCCTGAGCCGGAAACCACCGAGGAGGTGCCTCTGGTATCCGAGGGTGAGATGGGAGCCGCACTCCTGCGGCTTCAAAAAAACAGGGCGCAAAACAGCCCCTGGCCCCGATGGTGTGCCCGGCAGGGCCCTGGTCCTGGCCTTGGGGCCCCTAGAGGAACGCCTGCGGGAGCTTTTCAATGCTTGTCTTCGGCGTGGAGAGTTCCCGCAGTGTTGGAAGGCGGGTAGGGTTGTCCTTCTTCGTAAGGAGGGTCGCCCCGAAGAATCACCCTTGGCTTACCGGCCGATCGTCCTGCTGGACGAGGTCAGTAAGCTGCTGGAGAGGGTGGTCGCCTCGCGCATCATACGTTATATGATGCACGAGGGGCCTAACCTGTCGGACGCCCAGTACGGGTTCCGACCATCGCGCTCCACAATAGACGCCATATTGTGTGTCAAGGGATATGCGGAGGAGCAGGCGGCGAACGGCAAAGTGGTGTTGGCGGTGTCTCTTGACATCGCCAACGCATTCAATACCCTGCCGTTTGCTATCATCGAGGAGGGCCTCCGATACCATCGACTCCCCCGGTACCTACGTGCATTTATTGCGGCGTACCTACGGGGGAGGAGCGTTGTGTGTGTGGGGCGCGATGGCGTCCTCGTACAAAGGGAAACATGGTGTGGTGTTCCGCAGGGATTGGTCCTTGGCCCACTCCTGTGGAACATCGGCTACGACAGGGTACTCCGTGGTGCCTTGATGCGCGGGCTTCGTGTTGTCTGCTACGCTGACGACACACTCGTTCTTGCGCGCGGAGCGACGCATCAGGAGGCGATCCAGCTGGCGGTGCTTGGTGTGGGACTAATGGTGTCCCGCATCAGAGCTCTGGGCCTACGGGTGGCCCTGGAGAAAACTGAGGCCCTATTTTTCCATGGACCTCGAAGGAGGCTCGCTGCGGGCACACCACTCCGCATCGGAGAAGTGGAGGTCCGGGTCGAGTCAGATGTGAGGCGAAGGGGTGCGGCGATAACGTCTCCACCGATCGAATCGCAAGATGGCGACGCCAGGCGCGCGTCGCGGTGGGTTTTAGTTGGTAGGTCTGCCCTTTTCAGGGTGGGAGTCCAACATAACTCTTCTTGCTTCCCCCGCAGGAGAGTATGCATGATGCATTTCCCATCGTTAAAAAAAAAGGGTAATAAAACACGTGTTACTTATGTATAACATGTGAGGTATGGGATGAATGACTTCACGGTGTCGTTATTTTTGTGATTTCGATGTTCGTTATGTCGTAAATCTCCAAAATATCGAATTTTGGAGAATTACGACATAACGTTACTTTTGCGCAGAGTCTCCAAGAAAATTAGCCGTGGAGAAAAGATATAGCGTTTTTAACTTGCGGATGGTACTTTAGATTAACGAACGTGGCGATAAATTGCTAAATAATTTTCGAGTGATATTGATTTTCTTTCTTTCAATCAACGATGGGGGCACCGGTTATTTATTATAAATTTACAGAAAATCAATTAGCTAAGCTTTAGGCAACATTTTACTGACGGTGTTATGCGCCTAATGATTTTTTTTGTTGACTTCCGTGATGACTATTCAAGGATTTACCAATAGTTATTATAAATAAAAATGAGAAAGGGACATATATATTCCTTTCTCTCCCTCTCCGTCCTTTCTCATCCGACTGTTTTATTATTACGGTATTCTAGCAGTAAGTAACAGTAAGCTTGAATGTTTTACAATATCTTAGAACCACGCAGCACTTCTACTATTGGATGATTTGGCCAGCTCGCCCGAGAGTGTACACAGAAAACTGATAAAGGTAGTGATGAATTTAATATTATGAATCGAGTCAGGATAACCACTTTCTTAAAGATCACAACTCTGTTACAACTACTCGGATGATGAAGGTATACATGGCCGATGTTAAACACCTAACATCCTGTCATTCCTGTCATATCAATTTTCTAACATTTTTGCTCGTATCGCATTGCAATCGCGTTCTGTACTCACAAGCGGTTTACCTTTATTCGAAATAAATTAAAACACATCTTGCGACTCACCTGTTCTGAGCACTCGGAGTTCAGAAACATTGTCTTACTCGTACAAGGATCTTATTCACATTTAAAAGTTTAACACCGTTTAAGTCGTCTGTTGGCAATAAAGAACCGTTCACTAGTTTTAGTGCTGATTTATTAATTTTACTCACCTTTATTAGTCCAGTTTGAAAGGTTTACATCCTAGGCTTAACTTAACGTCGTGTAAGGTTTACATCCTAGGCTTAACTTAACTTAAGGTGACAAGAGAGCTGGTTCTTTTATCCCTCAAAGGTTAAGCATAAGTAATCAGCGAGGAAATGCAGCTAGCGTTCTTGGCGCGTTGACTATGTTTATTATGTAATATATAATATGTAATTTTAATATGTAATTTTAGATAAATTTACCCTGAGAATAATTATACCCTTATCTCAGAGGCTTACTCAGCGAGCTCATACCGCTTGCAACGTTATGACGGTTGTAGTCATATATCTGATGGCCTATTTTAAAGTGCTAAGCATTAAGTCTTAACTTATGCTGTACACGCATAGATGGTGTAACAGAGCAAAACAATGTTTATTATTGTTCACTTCATCTGGTGAGGTAAGTGAAGATGAACCTCTCAAATAATGGAAATGCAGTGAATACTTTCCTACCAAAACAAACTTAAATGTTAGTTGCAAAATAAATAAATCACTCAAACATGGTTTTCTGCTTCCTGGGGCCCAGCAAAATTTATTGCAGATTCACAAAACTTCTTCCAAAAGTACTTTTAAGTCAACACGGACTTAGACTCGTGTCGTTGTTCCGAGACAAAAGAACTAACTTGACGCCGACGTAATGAGGTCCCATGCTGCAGATTGTACAAAATCAACATTCTTGGAACTAGAAAAACTTTCCTGCGCTCCACCGTTTAACTTCACATACAAAACATAAACAGCAAGTACAAAACATAAAGTAACACTCGCGATAAACTAGCAACAGCATAGTTATTTTTTTAAACGTGTTATGTTATGTTCGTATAAAAGATCTGTGTGCGTGATTCTGTTGCGGTAAAAGTGTGATAGTCACAATGCCTTACCCTCTGATGTACCAGATGGCAGTGGCGCATTTTTCATAGGTTCGATTCCCACATGAGACAAGTATTTTGAGTGCCTCACAGGGAGTGCCTCCGGATCTGGGTATTTCTTCCCAGAAAAGTGACGTCAGGCAGGCGGCCAGTTGCAGAAAACATCAACAAAACCCCCAACAAAAACATCACGAGGAAATCTGCAAATTTTCGAAACGATCAATAAAACATAATTTTTCGAAATTTTTTTACCTCCGTTAATCCACAGTGACATTGTCTGTTAGTTTCCTTAACTTTTTTATAACATTATCTACAAGTGCACTCACCTCCATCTTACTGAAAGTAAAACGGCCATTGAAAAAAAAAAAAATACTTTGACGTGTAAATAGTAGTAATGTACGTTAGACAACAAAAGAAAATGTTTAGAAATTATCATAAAACGGGCGTGGATTCTCTAATTGTTTCACAGCACTAAAGTGGACACGTTCCCGGGAAAGTTTCCCCGGGCCTGCTATTAAAACTTGTGTCAATTAAGAACAATGACAAGTTATTTCACGAACGCATCCTGACTGGTTGAACTATGCGTACATAGTAAAGATCTATTATGAACTAATCGTATAGTTCCTTAATGTTTTAAACTAATTTTAAAACTATCCGCGTCATGTGATCTCACTCCTGATCGTCTGGTTAGAGGTTATGGTTGTAGGTTCAATAATTTTGTGCTATGACACATTTTACAGATTTCATATTTCGAAAACACTAAGCCGCCATACTAATGAAATTAGAATTACAGATAGACTTGTAGAATATTTATATCAATTCCTTGTTGTAATTATAATTCCACACACAATTGTATCTATTGCAATATTATTATTTATTTTTCACATACATTTCTGACTTTTTTGACGATAATCTGGGCCATTCGCTAAAAGAATACAAAGACTTAGAAAAATTGATAATAACTCTCGGCGCTCTTAAACATAAAATATTGTTACGGCAATCACTAAGAAGCATTTACTGGTTTAAAATTGTTAACTACTTGGAAACGTTCCTTAATCTTGATCTATCTGAATCTGTCTATTTGGTTGAAATGGTAGAAACCACCATTTTGAACCAGCGATACGCCGACGTCACTTTCCACTCTCAAGGTCGAGGCCCGAATCTCGACAACCGAGATTGGAGCGAGGCGGTACTGTTTACCGAAGGCCCAGTCCGTTTACTCGACAACAACATTGCACACTCGGAAAGGAAGTTATTGCTCAAGGACAGAGGTTCTCAAACTATGCTCCGAAATAGGAACACAAAAAATATTGTCATAGTTTACACCGTGACGCATTTAAAAATACCACTTCATGTAGGTGTGCGAGTATAGATCAATTAAAAGTAATATAATATATTTAAATTAATATTCATCAATCATCTTCAATTTAATTCTTGGTTTACAAAATGTAGATAAAGTTTGGGAAACCCTGTTAAAAGGGAAACTATTTGAGCCCATTGAGTTGCCCCATAAGGTTAATCATGAAGTTTAATAGTAAAGTGAAAATAAATCAATTATTGAAGCAGTGAATAGATCTGATTCGGATTTACCGATTAATTTTAATCATTGTTTTTGTTGAGCAAAAGTATAAACTTATTGTCTTACTGATTCTTACAAGAGAAGTTCGCCTCTATTGTATGAAAATGTTGTTGTCCTTAAAAAGCTGAATATTTGTTACAGGTTAATGGCAAAATTCAAATTTTGAAGTGGAAATTAAAACGTTTTTATGCAAATTCCAAACACCAATTTGGTTCAAATACCGATTTTTTTTAATAAAATTTTTTAAAGAATTTATCGCGTTGATTTTTTTTATTCTCGGCCTTTCGAAGACTTTGTACTATTCATGGCAAGAATGGGCAGGTCGATTCGAGGAAGTATCACGACCTCACAGTAGACCCGCGTGAAGTGGAAGTGGTGTAACACTACTGCGTTTCGTCTGGTGAGTGAAGTAGCCGGGGCCCACTGTACTAAAAGGTGGCAATGCATCTGCAACCCTATGGGTGTTGCATATGTTCATGGGCGGCGGTTGTCACTCAAAAAAATCCAAGAAATCATTAGTTGTAAGTTCTGTGCATGACTAGATGTTTCGTTTTTTCCAGATGGGGACGATTCCGTGCTAGCAATGTTCCTGTAGTCTGTTGTCTGGATGCGGTAAGGTTCACTATTTGAAATAAATAATGTTTAAAAGCATAAATTTAATCATAACTGTTTGGTCTTTTTCAATACCATATAGAACTATACGGATAACTGACATAGCTCGTAGAACCGATAACTGATAGAAAAGAAAGGTTCTTGAGTGGCAGCCAGCTATTGGCCAGCACAGTGTAGGAGGGGTCGCCCTACTTGATGAAGAGACGACTTGTGCAAATGTGCGGGAAGTCGATGGAGGTAGGTGGCTCAGGATCTTAGTTCGTGGCAGTCTGTAGGGGAGCCTATGTTCGTCTATGGACTATGGCAGTATGGACTGAATCAATGCTGATACAACTTTTATCGTTAAATACTTAACTTTTTGTGTTATATTGATGAAATCAGAGCTGAAGATCCCCTGAGGCTGAGCAGGAATGATTAATTTATTTAGTTATACTTTATTGTGCACCAAATACATAAAAAGTGCAAATTACAAATGCTACAGGGAAATAGTAGAGTAGTGCTAACACAAAATCTCTACTTTTGCGTGGGCTCCGGGTTAATAAACGTTCAAATATAATCCCCTTAACGTCCCTCCGCCTCTAAACGTTATCGCCTGTACAATGTAAACAAAGCAAATTACACGCGAGTGCGGTCAGATTGTGTTTCGTTGTAATTAGTCGCGACGCGAGGCGCGTGGGATGCGACGCCCACGGCTGGAGGTAGCGGCGGCTTTGCCCACGCCTCGTATTATGCTAATGTACGCTTCGGCGGCTACTGTCAATAATGGACTGAGACGAGCTTATCGTCTATCCTGACTTGACTCCTCTCCTCTAATAGTTTGCGATATGTTTTTCTGCTTCCTGGTAATCGCACTAGCTCAGCAAAGGATAAAAACCATGTTTCTTGTTTTTTTTTGGCGGTATGTTCCTAGTTAATCCCGGCAGCACGTAGCAATTAGGTCTTCACATATCTCTACTCCGTTAGGACTAAAGGCCTAAGATTTTATCATATACAAAATTGTATCGGTGACCTTGGCATACCCGTCAGCGGTCAACACAATATTCAAAACACGTGGCTGAGAATTGTTATATTATTTGTTCCGATTTGTCTAATTTCGGTGGCCAGTAGATACATTCGCCAAATGGCCGGCTGTTCGCAGCCACTCCTCGTTGAAAATATGCGGACAGGTCCATGCACCGTTTTGTTATTTCGACAGAATTAAATATGGCCTAAATTACAAACTATCGCAACTGCTATCGACAACGGTTATTTGAGTGTCGAGTGAGTATCTAGGCGTATTAATGTACATTTAAATTGTCCTTTATAGATTTACTTTATTATATGATAGTGGTGATTCAATCTAAAGACAGGAAATATGTAGATAAACGACATTCTCTTAATGTCCCTATTAGGGAACAAAAACAAAGTATTAAATAAAACCTCATTGAACGAAAAGAAGCTACGAAGTTGTTTAAGTGAAGACTGTTAAAAACAACTCTTACTACCAAGTGACTCTTACCGACTGAAAACGGTAACCTTTGGGGTCTGGCTTGTTAAAGATGAGGAACGCTGCTATGGGTGTTATAGATGTCCTGTTGTAGGGCAGCGCAGCAAGTTCTGTTGTTGCACGATTGGGCAGGCTCGTCCATGGTACTACCACGGCTTCACAGGAGACCGGCGTGAAGTGAAAGTGTTGTACGCTTGCGTTTCGTCTAGTGATTGAGGTAGCCGGGGCCTAGGTTTTTAATCGTCTGCAATGCATCTGCTACCTGTTAGGTGTTATTGATTTCCATGAGCGGCGGTGATCACTTAACTTCAGGTGAACCTCCTGCTCGCTTTGCAACTCCTCAAATCACTTTTTTTTAATTATGAGTCAACGACTGCTTCCGAGTTTATATAATAATCTTTCCTTAACTTATGCAATCCTGCCTTTTACAATATTCATTTGCCTTATGCAATGGAAACATAAAAGTTGCTATCAGGCTGACATAAGAGTGTTCAGCACCACCGGGTCAAGGATACCGCAGTGTTCGAATGCGAAAAAAGAAGGAAATGTTCGAAGCTCTAATTTTAAAATCGATGTTATGACAGACAAACTTCTTGGCAACGAAACTTCAACGTATCATCAATTTCAACTCGATTATTTCAAAACTATCAATTAATAAATCTTTGTCAAGGAATTTCTTTCGTAATCTGTGAAGAGGTTTGGGACGCTATCTATTTAAAGTTATTTATTAAGTTCAAAAAGCGTTTATTTGAGTGACATGGAGAGAATAACGCCCGGTTTCTGAAACCTGATCATCGTAGATGTTAACTAATAATTCTGATCATTGAGACGATCTTTCTGATCAATTCAGAGAGTTTATCCTTTTGGCAACTTAAATAACATTTGAAAAGCCATTTGACAGCTGATTAGTTAACTTCTACGATGATCAGTGTTTCAGAAACCGGGCGTGTGAACCTTACAATTTTAATACTGTGCAAATTCGCTGATTGCAAAAGGCACAAAGGCGTGCGTTTGCGGTAAAATCCACTTGTGGCGATGAATCGCTGGATGTGTCAGCGTTCATGAGCATTCTAAGCCGCCGCGGCCAGTCTCGTTTTGGCGCCCGGAGCGCGTGGACGGTGAGCTCGACGACCTATGCTCTCCTGGTACTTTAGCGCGAGTATTACGCTGCGGCTCTTTCTTATTCAGTGTTTATTTGTGTGTCCGTGATTTTGTATGTTATAAGAACGCAGAATTGGCGGTTATCTAGAAGAAGAAGTGAAGGTAGTTAGTTTTCTTTAAATAATTTCAATTCGTAGTTTTTCTGTGTATATCTATTCTAGGATTCAATAAAGATCATAAAATTTAGGCGTCTGTGTGTGTTTCTATGATGTACAAAAAACTGAATGAAACCTGAAATGTTTACGATTGATCATCGTAAATGGCCGTTTTAAGAATTTTCATCTCTGTCTGTCTGTCTGAAATTATGCTCGAATAAACTCCGCAAAGGCTCTTGGGACTTCAATAAAAATTATAAATAAAAATAACAGCTCTGACTCGACTGTCAATACAAGAACTTATAATATTTTTCGCATGATCCAACTATTGTTTTATTATATATGTCATATCATAGAAATAAATAGTTAGTTAAAGTTAAAATGAATAGTTTTAAATAATGTATTACATGAAACTGTACTTTATCGCGTTCATGAAATCATTCAGTAATTATACCTATATTTTTAGAACCAGTGTACACCCCAAATTTTGTTATTCAATTAGACAAATACCTCGGTCAGCTACATTGTTTTTATAGAGACACATAGACACAATGTATGCCATAGTCTTGTTTTGTATGAGAATGTGGCAAGCGAGCTGGTGTTTCACCTGATGTCAAGTGATAACCGCCGCCCATGGACATGTTGCAGATGCGAACACCCTTAGGGTTGCAGATGCGTTGCCACCATTTACTAAGTGGGCCTAGCTACATCACTCACGAGACGAAACGCAGAAGTATGACACTTCCACTTCACGCCGGTCTTCTGTGAGGTCGTGGTGTTTACGTGGACGGAACTGCCAGTTCCTGCAACAGCCGAAGCTGTTGCGTGGCCCTACCACAAAGTCAAGCTCTATCATTTGTTTACCCAAGACATGACGACAGCGTTTTATCATTTCAATTATATTTCAGATTGCGTATGACATAATGTTTGTTTTTTATTTGAATTGCAATTGATTTATTGTTCTGACTATCGATTAAAGTACATGTATAATATATAAGAGGACGATGGAGACAACAAGAGTTGTTGATACATTTTGTTTTAATTAAATATATTATCCATACATTCATCTATTTATACTTTTTAAGTTATAGCCGATCGAATTGTACATCGCACATATTGTGTTTTGTTTCTTTTGCATCCTCTGTATACGTAACAGTTTTTAATTTAGTGGAAGTCGTTCAGAGATCATATTAATATTAAAAACTAAAATGCATTAACAGTTCATGTACTCATGTATTATGATATATTGCAGGAGTGTAACTAAATTAAATCTTTATTAATATATATTTCTTAATCAATGCAATAAAAAGACTTAATATGGTTATAGAAAATTGATATCCCAAAATAATTCCGTGAAACCATAGACAGGAATGTTTTAGTTCGTTCGTTTAGAATGTTAGCAATCGTTGATCTCAATAAATTTCA